CTCCCTACACTCGCTGCTTGTAAGTAGGCTCTTTTGCTAGCCCTATAAGAGGTGGGGGTTTTCTTCTCCTAGCATGTGATCCATGATTATTCTAGCCACACACAGCACATGGGAAGCTCTGGGTCCAGAGGTCTGCATACCTGCAGCCCTTGTGCCTCAGTATTTTCCCTGGCCCTTCTTTAAGCTGAAGGTGAGAGATTGCAACACACCTCTCTCAACAATAGATAGATCAAGCAGACAAGTCAGGATTTAGATTTGACCAACATGACTTACAAATTTGATGTAACAGAAATCTACAGACTAATGTGCCCTACCTACAATTGTAGGCTCATGAACAAATTTCATTTTTTGTTCCATGTACATTTTTCCTAAGTGTAAATGGAAAAAAAATGAAAATTGACCATATAGTGGGCTATAAGGTAAGTCTTACTAAATTTCAGATGGTTAGTATAATACAAATCTCTGACCAATGCAATGAAATAAAATATTAGGAGCAAACTAGAAAACTAGGAAAAACCGCATGTTTGGAAATTAAGAAAAATACTTAAGTATCTAAACAACTCATGGAGGAAAAAGAAATCATAAGAGAGAATAGAAAATACTTGGAATGGAGTGGTAATGAAAATACACATACTCATATTTGTGGGGCACAGCTTTAGGGAACTGCATAGTTTTATGTGCACATTATAGAAAAAAAGAAAAGTTGAAAATTGCCAAGTTAAGCATCCATTAAGAAAAGCTAGAAAAGGAAGAGTTAAATCCATTAATTCAAGAAATATTTACTGGGTACCTAATATGTGTACACACTGTGCTAAGTGCTGTGAATACAGCTGGGAAGAAGGCAAGGTAACAGGGGAGAGTGAGACAGGAATCATTGGCAGGCTTGAGCAAAGGAAGCACACAGACCCAGACCCCTCTGGCCGCTCTGATGGGGAGCAGGGATAGGGAGCCTTAGGGAGGAGATGGTGGCCAGGAGCAGGACAGGAATGCTGGAGTTGCTGAGGCGTGGTTGAGTCCATATCTACTTTTAAAGTCTCTTTGGCAGGGTTTCTGATGGACTGGACGTAGGCTAGGACAAGGATGAGTCAAGGATGGCAGTGTTTTTGGCCAGAGCAAGCAGCAGCATAAAGCTCCATCTCCTCAGATGTGGTAGTAGAGGTTCCTTCTGGAACATGCTAAGTTTGAGAGGCCTATAGTTGCTGCAGTGGAGTCGAATATGTGAGTCTAGATTTCAGGGAAGAGGGCCAGGCTGGAGACACATGTCTAGGTCCTCTGGGTGACGTTTAGAGCCAGGAGCCCCGATGGGATCTCGAGGAAGTAAACGTGGGAGGAGTTCCAAGAGTCCAGGCTCTTCCAACATCCAGAGGCCGGGAAGAAGAGCAGGAGCCAGTGAAGGGCTGAGAAGTGGCTAGAGTGTGTGATTCTGGAGATCAAATGTACGGTGTTCAGAGAGGCCACACAGACTCCAGAAGAAACCAGGTGGCTAATAAGAATACGGAGAATTCTTACGGCTAATAAGAATAAGAATACACATGTGTATAGCTATCAAACACGTTCTAGCACAGTGAAAATGTTCTCACCTTAAGATCTAATATATGAAACACGTACTGAGAGAGTTGAGCTCAGGTCTGTACGGAGGCAAGGGGAGAGGAGGTTCACAGCCACAGGTGGGTGGCTGCAGCAAATGTCTCCTTCAGAGGAGCTGGAGAAGCAAAATGTGCTGGAAACCTAATGCAGAACATATGCTATCAACAGAAACAACACTCCAGATGTAAACATACAACATGAACACAGCCCTAAAAACCAGAGCACAGAACCAGCTGTTAGTCTCAATACCATTTAAGTGAAACAAATTAATACTATATCACTCATCTCTAAGGACATGTGTTCAGTTCATTAGACTTGACACCTCTGGGAGGGAGGAGAGTGGGAGTGGGGGTGGGGATAAAGGAGAAAAATAACATGAAACAAGAAAGGGCTTTTTGCATGGACACAGATATGATTAGCCAGCTCTGTACAACTGAGATCCTACCACTGCCCCAAAGAAAAGTTTTCCCCTTGTTTCAATCCAGGCAGACTTAAGGACTTGAAGGCTTACGGCTTAAGGCAGTTATATTCTGAATATGGTATACACAGTGGGTGTGGCAACCATAAGTCTCCCATATATCCTCTCCTCGTTGTGCCTAAGGATACAACCCCCAGCCTCCTCTGCAGGTGGGTGCATTTTTTATGATTAATTTCTGGCCAGTGTTGTATGGGACTTTAGGGAGGGCGAGATAAATGGGAAGGGGAATGTGCCATTTTATCCTCCTCCTCTATTGTTGGCTTGGAATATGGACATAAGGGCTGGTACCCTGGTAGTTATCCAGGACCATGAAGTAACTGTAAGGCTGGAAGCCACATGGGTAGAGATAGGAGCTGGTATCCTGATGATCTATGGAACTGCTATACCAGACCTTGATGACACATATCTGGTCTTCTTTAAAGTGAGAGAGGAACACACTTCTATCAAGTTTAAACATTGTTATTTTGGAATTTTCTATTATACAGAGTCAATATTCTCCTAACTGATAAAGTGGTTTCTGAACTGATGCCAAATTGGAGAGCATTTCCTTTTTTCCTAATCTGCCACTTCTTAGAAGAAAGTTTTCCTAGAGATCCTTTTTAGATGTTCCCCATCTTTTCATCTATTTGGTGTCTTCAAAGAGTGTTATTTATACTTCTATTGAGATTTGTTTTAATTTTTAGGATTTTTTTCAATTATAGAAGAATCATTTCAAATAAAGTATAAAATAATCTGGACTAGTCTTTGTGGTGAAGCAGAGGTTTGGCAGCACGCCCAGATGGCTTCAGACTTCAGTGCAGAGATGATCTCGTCACATCCACTTTAGTTGAATGTGTACACAGAATGAATGGACGTGATCCTAGGGTCAGGCAATTTGCTGATGGATAGCTGCCAGTTGGTTTGACAGCATAGACAGAGCTTTAAATTAAGCACTTTCATACATTAATTCTTTTACTAAGGAGAGTAACCTGATGAATAGACAGATTTTAAAGACCAGTCTAATCTGGTGGACTGAAAAACTCCTGACTGAATGGGAGGCACTCTACTAATCAGTGATTTTTCTTCCTCTTGATTTTGTATCTTTTGACTCCTTTGAGTTTGTCAAGCCTTTTCCTGGCTTAAAGCAACAGGTTGGGCGACCAAGAAAAGTACATGTAATTAGCATTAGTGATGGTGGCAGGTCTTAAGCCAGGAAGCATCTGGAACTAAAAGCTTGAAATTGCTCACTAGGCCACTGTCCTACGTGTGAGGCTCATCAATGCTCTTTGCGGCAAACAAATCTCCTTTTAAGACCTGCAATTTGGATCTCTTTTGGCTGAGAAATTTATACTCTCCCAGATGTAATTTTGTTCTAAGAATGATTTCTATGTGTTTCATTGTTACAAAGCAAATACACACTTACTGTGGAAAATTAAAATACAGACAGCAAAGACAAAAAACAACAACAAAGCAAGAATGTTGACAAACCCATCTACCTAAAGACAAGCCATTTTTAATCCCTCAGTGGGTATCTTTTCATAGCCTGTGAATGGCATGCTTAACTCCTTTCGGATTCCTGGACCCGATTCCCACACACACAACACCAAGCAATTCTCGAACACCAGCAGGGTATCCGAGAACTCTGCTCAATCCTGATGCTATCTGTTCAGAGACAGCAAGCACCAGATTCCCCAAGTTAAGGGGAGTTAAGGGTTCCGTCCTACAAGACTGCCCTCCACCACAAACTCCAGATGACTGTGGAAGCACCAGGCAGTTCCCTATGCTTCTGACCTATCAGCTACAGATTGGAGGTTCCAACCACCTCCCGCTTGGGGTCGATTGATTAATTTGCTAGAGTGGCTCACGGAATGCAGGAAAACACTTAGGTTTACTAGTTTAATGAAGGACACCATAAAGGATACAAGTTAACAGCCAGATGAAGAGAGACATAGGGCAAGGTCCCAAATAAAGGAGCTTCTATCTTCGTGGAGCTTGGGGCCTGGCTCGGTGGCACATGGAGGCGTGCTGGTTCCCCAAGCTTAGGAGCTCTCCCTGGCTAAGAGGCAGGATCCAAGAGAGCAGAGGGCAATACTCTTCTCAGGGGTTTTTGTGAGGGCTTCACTGGACAGTCATGACTGACTAAATTATTGGCTATTGGTTGATTCAACCTCTAGCCCCTACCTTTTGGTGGGGTCCAGAAGTCTCTCATTAACATGACAGGACACCCATTTCACCTTTAAGACTACAGTGTCTTTAGGAACTGGATGAAGACCAAATATAACTGGGAAATATGTATTTCTTATGGCTCATTATATCGCATGGACCCTCTATACTGTGTGGTGTGCATGTGTATGAATTTTAACCATAGGGCAATAAAATATATTTTAATGGGTCTAAAAGCAGTAATTCATAAACAGAAAGCAAGAACCAGTGACTGGATCGGTGCAGCCAAAGGCTTATTCTTGAAAAAGACCAATAATCTTTGTTGGTCTCATCCTAGGGAAAAAAGAGAAAAATACACAACAGAACAACATTCGAGATAAGAGCAGGGACATCAGTAGACAGATGGAGATTAGAACTCCAAGAGAACACAATGTTTGTACATGTACAAGAATGCTACCAAAAGGTTTCCAGGAAAATGCTAAGTGACTGGATGCATGTGGGCAGCCTATTAACAATGAGGAATCCATTCCATTTAACTGGAGCACAATTATTTCAAGATAAAGGTCCCAGATGTGGCCCTGGACAGGTGGGTGATGCACAGGAAAGGTGGTGGCCATGGAATGGACGCCGAGGAGCAGGGACAGCTCAGCCCTGGGGAGGGCTGTTGGTGTGCAGTCAGACCCGTGTGTGCTCGTTAATGCCCATGTTGTATTACACTGAAACCCCATCGTCAACACCCTAAAAAAGGTTCAAGTTCTTCACTGGCGAAGAAATTACAGACCAAACTCCTGAATCATTTGCAGCCACTTTTTATTCCATACATGTATTTTTGTAAACCTGCATTTCCCAAACAGTGCAAGTGAATTAGAAGTGACCACATATACTTTAATACATGTGACTTTGTGAGGAGGAACACCCCTCCCACCAAAATTCTTCAACGGAAATGTACATGGATGCATCAGTCAAGTTCTGGAAGTGAGCGTGGGTGCCTGCCATGCAATTAATTGCTCTTAAAGCTTTTAAACTCATTCTGCCAGTCACACCGTGCACATCAGAAATTTAAAAAAACCTTAACAAAGTCTGAACTCTAGAGCATTGTGCTATAAAGCATTGCACTCATGGGAGACTTGTTCATCATCCCCACAATGTGCTGAACATCAGAGGATTTTCTAGAAGGCTCATTTTGGCCCGACTTGGCCCTGTAGCCCCCCCTTCCGCCATCCTTTTTCAGAAAATATTCCCCACATGTATATTATTGCTTTGTATAGCAGACAGAACATCAGCTAAATCCCTGGATATTGGAGCATTTCCGAAATGACACTCATTTTCTATCTTGTATCTGGTAAAGGGCCATTTCAATTAAATAAAAATGCTTCACAATCCCTCTAAATTTGGAGTTTGTATCAGATGTATGTAGATTTCACTGGATGTGTTTCATATGTTACCTGTGCATTTACCTGGCCATAATGCCTTATCCAAAACAAAAGTAGAATAACCTTTAAGAACCACCTTGCTAGTCTAACAGGCAGCATACAGCAGGCATATCGCTTGGGGACCTCATACACTTCCACACTGAAAACGGGTCCCACATGTTCCCAGGAGGCCTGCTGGCCTTCTGTTTTTAACCTCCTTGCCTTTGGCTCCAGGAAAGCAGGCTTTGCATGACTTGGTGAAGGGCTTTCTACTGGATTTTCTACAATGTTTACCAAGCTTCTGAATACTCTTGATGCTGAAGGAATTTCCGTCAAGAACTGAGAAAGTCTCTTAGTGACCCCAGATATGTGCCCATCAGTCACCACAAGAAAACTGACCCACTCATTTCTGTGTCTCCTTGTTCCTAAATTTTGTGGTCTCTTCTTCGTGTCAGGTCTAGGGTTCACTTTGGGGGTGTCCCATGTAAATAGAGAGCAGCAAGTCATTTTTGAAAAGGGGAATTCTTTTACTCAATTTCTACAAAGGTCCTTTTTCATATTTAAAAAACATCTGAGTCCTTCCTACAGCCGGATAAAACCATAGTGAATTTGCAACCAAACATGGAAGCAGACTGAATTAATGTTGTGCAAGAGGATGCCTCAGGATTCCACAGTGAACCCACAGAAGGGAAGGGCAGACATGGAAAGGCACTGTGGCATTTTAAAGGAATATTCTGGAGAAGCAACATAGACACACTAACTCACCACATCTGCTTCCCCTGAGAGCCCACAGAGGGTCTCTGAACTGGGCTGCAGCTGGTGAAATGCACAAGCTGAGAGCATGCTAACAACATGATTGACCTCTGTCTCTACCTGTGTTAAAGGGTTGATTCCCTGGTCCTCATAACACCACCTGCTGCTGGCATGATCAGACAAGCAGAGGCACCATCTCTCTCCAGACCCTCCTTCCTGGAGCAGCTGCCAATATTTGCTCCTGTTGGCCAATCACCAGGTGATTTTCCTAAAGACCTGCCATCTGACGTCTTAGTGATCACCTGCATCTGCCATACAGTCAACAAGAGGGCCATGAACCCTGGCTCTGAGGCTGCCCATGGGAGCCTGCCCTTGTCAAAGTGAGGTTTTCTCTCTGGCTGGCAGAAACTTGGGCCTTTCCCACTGCCACCGATGTGTCTGTACCCCTTGCAGGAGGCTGATTAGTGGCTATAAATGCATTTGTCCAAAGCTGCTGATGGAGCTGTCCCAGGCCTATTACCTAAGAATCTTAAATAATTTATTGAAGTATAACATGACACGATGGACAAGAGACCATTGAAAGAAAGCTACAAATGGGTCTGTTAAAGGAACCCACATTCTACGTTCCCCTGTAGGTAGGTCTGCCTCCCAGGCAAAGTGTGCCTGTGTGTCCTCTGGTTCCCCAGCACAGTGCTTGGTACACAGACAGGCTCCGCAAATATCCTTTAATGAGTGACTAGAATCCACCAAGACTGCTTTGATTACTTTTGCTAGAACTCATAGGCAAACTCCAAGAGGGAATTGGTTTCTTTGCCCACATCTGCCCTGTAGTTACCTCTGGGCCTCCATGCCTCCTACAGAAGCAACCCCTTGCCAGCACTCTAAGATCAGCCTAGTTCATGCCATTGACTCTCTAGCTCTTGTTGTCTATTCCCATATTCACTAGCCAGGGATGCATGACACATTATCTTCCTCATCATCAGCTGCACAATTCAAAATGAAAAGACACATGTGTTCCATGCCAGGTTCACAGCTGCCCTGCACCCTCATAATTCTGCCAAAACCCAGCTCTGTTTGCAATTATCAGCCAAGTATGGACACAGAAAGCTGGTTTCCCCTGAAGGTAAGTTCTGTGTCTTTTCAACAATGTTCACAGATCCCCCAACATGTTGGCTTCAGTAAACGAGGCCCTATCAGAAGGATTCTTCACCTTGTTTCCTGTGCCATTCCCATTTGATGCCACCTGTATGCATCTGGGATTTGAGCAAGCTGTGAAGAGCCATTAAGGCCTCTGTCACCCTCTTATCTGATGTTCTCCAGCAGGGGGAGCAGGCCAGCTGCTAACAGTCATTTAGCATCCACCTTGGGCCAGTCTGTCCTCTCATGGCCCACACATGTAGAAAGTCACATTGCACTCAAAATGGGGCAACACAGCGCATGTGATAGTCAACGCTGATAAATGGAGCACTGGGGTCTGAAGGCCAAACTCAGCCTTCACACCTACAGGGCTAGGGAGGGTGTCTGGGCTGTGCCAGGCCCATCTGCATCATTTCAGCACACATGCCAGGCTGGGGTGCACCTGCCACTCCCCTTCAGAAGACTGCCGCTGAGCTCCTGGAGCCATGTTGCTGGTAGGAATGAGAGCCGAAAGTTTACACCTCCCGTGGGCGCAAGAATTCAAAAGCTTAGCTGCCTTGACTCAGGTTGGGACGACTCTGACACATATCTGTTCTCCAGGGCTCCCCTGCAGGGAGCCTCTGCCCTCTGTGGCCCCAGCCTGGCCTGGCATCCTTCCCAGCTTTCCCACCTTCCCTGTCCCACTTCCCTCACTCCCCTTACTGCTGTCCTCTGGGGACACTTCCTTCAGGAGGTACTTGCACATAAATGCTTGTCTCAGGGACAGCTTCTTGGGGACCCCAACCGAGACACAATTTAAAAAATAAGGCCAGGTTGAATGATCACTCTAGGAAGGAACCTTCTATACTGTTATCTGGGACAGCAAGAGCAATAGGGAAGTGGGCACCTTTGAACTCAAACTGCCATATGAAGGCGACACATCACAGCATCCAGATGCTAGTCTTTGCATGGTGGGCACTGATGTAGTCCGTGTGGTGGGTGGTTGAGGGGTAGTGTCCGGGACAAGATGCCTTTCCGCGGTTTAGCAGATGAGTACCTGGCCTTGCTCCAAGCTTTCACCCTGCCTCCAGGTGAAGGAGGCTGAGGGGCCTGCCTATAAAAGCAAGGCAGAGCAGACTGTTGCTAGCATCAGGTTTTTCCATCCAAACGCCTGCTGACTCTTCAATGAAAGGTGCATATGAAAAACACTTATAGTCCTTGAGCACATGACTTCAAACTGGATTCCAGGCAGTAAGGGTGCGAGATGCCGAAGGGTTGTGCCACCACCACCATTTTGTATACGGCACCGCTGGCTTGGCAGGTTCATTACTTGAGGCTCCTTTTGATTATTTTATCTGCAAGTCCTTTCTAACAGCAAGGTCCAAAGTACAATCAGATTTTTATTCTTTAAATTCATATGAATGTACATTTCCAAGATTTCAGGCCAGGTATCAGTGCTTGTGTGAATTATAGAACTATTTAATAGAAATAATAAAACATCGATACAAATATAAAGACATAATCAGTATAAAAGGCTTATATTTATAAAAATACTTCTCGGTAACAGTTTTCCCCTGAGGGCTGACCACACATGTTGCATCCATAAATATTGCTCAGCTCTGTAGCTTGTTTTCCAAAGGACAGAGGTCATCTTCAGAAAGAAATGGTGGTGGCTCCAGTCATGCGACCCGGCCCAAGTGGCAGCCTCAGGCTGGCACCTGGGCTTGACAGAATGAGGAAGAGAAGAGCATCAGTGGGGCCTCCGAAAAATCTGGAGAAGATTCTTTCTTCCAAATATGGAAGATACACGCCCGAGGATGACAGGCGAAGAAGCGGGTGCGTGGCCGGTGTGGCAGGTCACTGGTGTTTCTGGGCCCAGTCCCAACTGCCCTCATTCTCTTTCCGGTTCTTCTCAGCTTCAATAATCTCTTTGTACCTTCGGCGGAAGAAGCCCATCTGAAAGGCAGAGAGGGGAAGCCGCGTTAGAAGTGCCAGAGAGGCAGCCGCTTGGATTGCAAGGTAGCCTGGCCGCCTTATGAACTCCCCTCGGGCTTGTTTACAGAAAGCATCAGGTGGAGCCACTTCTCAAAACGCATGGCCTTCCTGCTGGCTCTCTTAGGATTGCTCCTTGCAAGGTGTTTCTGGTGGAACGTTCCCCAAACCACAGGCTGGGGAACACTAGTTACTGAGAGTTCCAAAGGGGCTTGGGAGTAAAAGAGGTTTCAGGGTCAAATAAATTTGAAAAAATGCTGCATTATCTCTCTTTTTTTTTAATTAAGGTATCATTGATATACAATCTTATAAAGGTTTCATATGAGCAACACTGTGGTTATTACATTCACCCATATTATCAAGTCCCCCCCCCACCCCATTGCAGTCACTGTCCGTCAGCATAGTAAGATGTTGTAGAGTCAATACTTGTCTTCTCTGTGCTATCCTGCCTTCCCCGTGCCCCCTACATTATGTGTGCTAACCGTAATGCCCCTTAATCCCCTTGGCATTCTTTCTTAATCTATTCATGATGTACAGTAGAACTATAAAGGGTCTAAGAGACTCAGGGACTTGACATTTCATGAGCGCATTTGGCTTTGGATACATTTATTAATATCCTGAGAGATACCACCCATTGTGGAATAACGTGTAAATGCTGCTCTCACATAGGAGGCCTCTGAAACAGCCTGCAGATGTGCATTCTACCTTGCTGCCCTCTGGAACTTTCTCTCAAGCCCGTGACACTCGTGCTGTGCCATCATGAGAACTGGTGTCCACCCTGATCAAGGATGGCAGTCTCCTTTCCCTTGGCTCTGAAAAGCCTTCACCCTCTGATATCTTAGGGCTTTTCATGTCTGATAGGATGAGTTTCTCATTTTCCCACACAGCCATCATAACCACTCCTGCCAGATATTTAAGCAAGTTTCTGTAGCCCAAAGCTGACCTTTTCTCCCATGCTCAGGAGAACGTGCGTGGCCTCTGTTTCTGAGGTCAGCATCCCCCTGGCACTAAGCATGACTGGAGTGGGCATGCGTCAGCTTCCTCCCTCATTGGCTGTGATGCCCCAAAGGTGTGGATCCTCCCAGTTTCCTGGGGGAACTTGCCCTCAGTGGTAACCAGCTTAAACAGCTTAATCCTTTGTTGGTGTCCTCTTCCCTGCTCAGAACAGTGTATGCTGAGGTCATCTTCCAAATGCATTACCTGCCCTCAGATCCTTGTTTTTTGGATAGAGGAATCCAGACATACACACACGTGGTCTGCTGGCAGGTCTGCTGCACTGAGAGTTTGTGTCACCACAATGTCATTAATTTACAATCCCTGCAGTAGTGTTTGAAATCACTCAAGACTAGAAATCTCTGCAGTTGGCTGCCAATGAATGCACAGCTCATAGACGGACGGGTGAAGCTGCCACTGATGTTTGTCCTTTGGAGTCCAAAGACCACTTCCTAAAGCACAGTCCGCTCTCGTGGCTGGGGAAGACTAGGTACAGTGGTGCAGGCTGTGCACTGCATATGGGGTGTGCTGCTCACCTCAGATGTCACAGACATGCACATTTATTACAATTATTTTCCAGCAGATGGCAGTCGAGTGTCTTTCTGACAAAATCAGATTTTTCTGAATTTTCTGACAGACGGAAGTAAAACTTCTGGAGGAGGGGACACTATTTACTGGTTTGCACAGAGGTGTCAGATAGTCTAGTAGTCAAACTGACATTGTTTCTTAAATGAGCAAACGAATTCGGCTTCAGGAGAGGAGAGCACCACCTCTGTGCTTTCATTTAGAGCTGGTTTGGCTTTTGATGTGGAACCCAAAGTCCAGGCTCTGAGTTTACCAAGTGACGGTCCCCGGAACAAATGTGTCATATCAGGCCTGACCAGTGCCACATGACCTGCTCTGAAGCGATGTGGCAGGGGAGCCCACAGCCCTGGTTACTGCTTATGCCCCAACTACCTCCTGGCCACGGGGTGGGTTACTTGCCGGCTCTGAGCCCCAGTATCTTTGTCTCTGCCCAGGAGACCCATGGCATTCTCAGACCTCTTCCTGCCCTGAAATGCAGTGATGGCTTTTTACGAAGGTCCGTGAAGCAAACTCAGGGCTGCTGCCTGTGGGGACCACAGCTGTGTACCCAGGATTCACACTAAGGAGACACAAGGTAGAATCCTCGCCTGGTGTCAATTTTTCTCAGAATTCTGGAAATTTTTAGAAAATTAAATTTTCAATTTTTATATTACAGAATGGATATGTTATAGAGTATAAAGGATTACAAAATTGTCAAAAGTTAAGATAAGTCAAGGCCACAAAGACATTCCCCTCCTGCACCAGCCTTCCGCAGCACGTAGTCTCCCTCTCGCTGGTGCTCACGGCTACTCTGGGCAGACCGCGTCTGTGCTGCCAGCTGACCCCACGGAGAGACTGGAGACGCAGGGATGAGTCCACGTTGCATCCCCCACAGCCCCACACTCAGGAGCCAGTATTCTGCATGTTCTCTGGAACTTTCCATGGATTGCTTTGCCACTTTAGGGGCAAAAGGTTGTTTATAACTGTTCTGTTTGTAGCAGGGAATGTCATGGAAATCCTAGAGCAGGAGAGGTTCAGGCCAAGCTTTGCTCAGTGGGAAGCTGAGGGGCAGTGCTCTTTCTGGCTTGTTGTCATTACTGGTCCTGATAGGGGCCTGCAGCCTCAAAGAACAGCTCCCTGAGCCCTCCTGACAGACTTAGATTTTCTGATATTAACTTGTATCAAATGGCTGTCAAAACACTACTATGGAGACAGCAGATTTCCCCTGAATGGGGAGGTGTGGTGTGAGGCATAAAGCCTAGAAGGACATAAGGCCAGCTCAGTCCTGGGGGCTCAGGTGAGGCCAGGCTGCACAGCTCCTCAGCGCCTGTGAGATGCCACCCCTCCTCCCCATGACTTTGGGTTGCCTCCTGGGCAGCTATTCCAAGGACCTGGATATACCCCTTCTTGGGGCTAACTTGGGGCCTCGTGTTTACGGGTGCCGGCAGTTCCTCGACTATTTACATAGCAATTCTCTGTCTTGAGATGTTGACAGTGCATCATTAGCTCAATATTTATTTCCAAACATAAATAAGCCCCCTCCAAATGTCTCTGGCACGGGGCTTTGAAGCTATGAAGGGCGTTTGTGTGCATGAGCTTTCCCTTTACTTTGGAGGAGAAGCAAAGGGTGGTTCTCCCAGCCTGGCTGGAGGAAGGTGATAACCCTGTGACCCTGGAGAGCCTGCCAGTCTTTAGATGTTCTTTGCCATCACACAGATTTATTTTTCTAAGTGCTTCTGCTTGAGGTCAGAAGTAATGCGATAAAAAAAAACAAAAACCTTGAGCCCAGAGCTGGCTCTAAAGTGGCAGGCCCTGGGAACCGCCCCAGCTGATGGGTGGAGGGTACGCCTTTGGCAGCTGCCTCTTCACTGCCCATGCAAGGCAAGAGCCAGCAGGTCCTGGGCCTTCTGGGGAGAGACTGGCCACTGGCTGGCAAGGCAGTGCACTTTCCTGTCTCTAAGCCATCTCGGCTTGCAAATGGGGCAGACAGGAGGGAGGTGAAGCATTCCTTGGCTGAGAACAGTAGAAGAGGATGCAGTTTTTCTCCCTCACTGAGTGGTGGCCTGTGTGTTTTGGCAAGCTGCCCAAGGGAGTGGGGAGAGGGAGGGAGAAGCCTGGGGCCCTAAATGAGGCTTTTTCTTCTAAAGGAAACCATCCCAGCATCCTTAATGAGTTTAAGCCAGTTCTCAAAGGCACAAGTCACATACCCAGTTGCTATCCCTAAGGTACCTCTGACCAGTGAAACTTCCTCCTATAAAAAGCCCTCCATGAACGTCTTGAGAAGACACCAGCCCAGGCAGCATCAAACCCAGGCAGGGGCTGAAGGACAGGAGAAGGGATTCAGTTGGGTTTTTCTCTCTTACAAGAGTTTTATATTTCAAAGTTTTCCTCCTGCCTGGTGGTTTGGCAGGCTACCGTAATCCTCGCACATAAAGTTTAAATTACGGCTCCCAGTGTCTGCTAGCATCCCAGCTTTGGCAAAGCTGATTAGGCTCCATTTCAGGATTTGAAGAAGGGTTTGGTTAGTTCGGGGCCCTCACTGTGGATTTTGTGCCGGAGCCAGGCCCTGCCGCCACCAAGCATGAGAGTGCCTGAGATGCCAGCGGGCAGGCCTTCGGGAAGCCCCAGGGTCTATCCAGAGATAGAGGAGGCGACTGAGTGCCAGGTGGGAGCCCAGAGTTCTGCTGAGAAGAGGCATTTGCTGGACCTGAAAGGTTTCTACTCAGGTAAACAGTGGATAACGGGTGTGTTAGTAGCACCACAGTGACGTGAAGGCAAGGCCAGAGGCTGGTGGCACAGTCTCTTTCTCCTCACTGAGTCTAGCTCACTTCTCAGGGCGTACCTAGCTCAACCATCATCTTGGTCACCTAACTGCTTTCCCATGGTCTTCCAGATGAGAAGGGCTGTCATTTACCCGTGTCTTGCTGCCCAGAGCCTGCCTCCTGGCAGGGCCCAATCCCATATGCTGAATGAAGGCACTGGCCATCTTGCAAGTGTAAAGCATGCTGCCCCACAGGCCTGCAGCACAAAGCCTGCATCAGCACAGCCAGCACTTTGCTCTGTTTCAGTACCTGTCATGACGCATGTTTATGTGACACATGGGGAACAATCATTTTTGTCTCATAAACTCAAGGCAATGGCAAGCAGCTGAGGGGAGCAATGTCAGGAGCTGCTCTAAAGGGGACATCAAGAGATGTGGTTCCATAAAGGGATGAGGAGTTGGACATTGCCCACCTCTGTTCAAAGGCCCTAGTGAGATATTTCCTGCTCAGCAATGGCAACTGGATACCACTCAGTGGCTTTCCCCTTGACAGAAATGGAGGGAATTGTATGTGAAATATACTAATAAGCTAGAACCATTATGACCTCCCACAGAAGTCAAATATTAGGCAGAACTTGAGGCACAT